GAACTGAGATTTAAAAGGTATGCCAAGAAGACGGATGAAATCTCCACACTGTCGTCAATGTCCCAGGACACAGCCAATCGGGAACAGGGACCCAACTACAGGAGGACCATCATGTGTCACACAATGTCTCTGCTTTGGCTCATGAATCATTGCCTCCACCTGCAGAGAGGTGTGGGTACATGCAAATCATGAACACCTGAGCCTTGGACAGGAAGCCACCTCTGGCCTGGGTGACCTTCCTCGGACAGGGCACTGGCCAAGTGCAAGTCCACAGCATTGCAGCCCGCACACCAGGCCCCTGCTCTGTGCCGCCCCTGTGGCCGTCTTTCACCTCTGTCTTTATGTTCCGGTTTAGTTTCACAAGGAAGTTCTGAATTTTAAGGCTCCTTTTATAGAGGCCCCATAAAATGTTTTTACAGACACCCTGTGTTCTCTGCAAGAGCTGGGAAAGGGCTTTACGAGAAGAGTTAGGGCCTCTCTATCAAGAGATTTCATGCAGTTGCTGTGAAAATTAATAGATCGAACAAAGCGGCTGTGACCGCTCTACCAGGTCCTGGCGCTGCTTCAGTGCATGTGAGGGTTGTCATTAGGAGTGCATGAAATCGCTTCCTTGGAAGAGTTCATTGCCCATATCAAAGGTCTTCCAGGATGGATTCAGCCGTGATCCTTGAGAGAAGCCTGCGCTCCCATGAGCCTGACACCTCGGGTCACACAGCTGCGGCAGCACACCGGCCACTGATCAGTCCTGGAGCAAGGAAAAGTGCTCCCTGCTGGCAAGTGCAGACTCACCTCTCAGGGAAATGGGGTGGGGGTGGGGGGATCCTGAGGTCTCAGCAAAGCCTGAAACCCGTAGCTCAGCTGGCGGAGAACAGGGCACCTGTCCATACACTGCTTCCAGGACTCCCAAGGCTGTATCTGGATCACCGCAGCCAAGTTCCCACACTGACCTACAAAACAGCAGGGCCGGAGCTGGAGATCTCGGGCGCACCATTTTATTTTGCTTCCCGTGTTACATCACACTCGCTGTTTCACAGGCAGCAGAGTCTGCAAAACAGGTCAGGAGCCTCTGACAGCTGTCACGTTGTCATTACCTCAAAACCAAAGGTCCTTGGGACTTCATTTCTTCATCTATAACATGAGGTGGCGAAACCAGAACAAAGGTTTCCCTCCCCTTTGTTTCATGACATGGATGTTTCTTCTTTGGGAAAGCCTTAGCCACCAACAAAACACCCAGAGCTCAGGCAACTCGATCACTGGAAAAGGCATCCATCTCCCAGCGTGTGCCTGGATGCTGGATTCGGGTCTGTGCCTTCAAGGAGCTGGCGGCTTGGGGCTGCAGGTGACTGACAGTTTCTCCCGTGATTCTCTGGCTGAGATCTGCTCATTTCAGACACCGTGCCAGGACATCTGAGACTGGCACAACGCAAGAAAAACTGCCAGGGTGGCTTTTGAAAGCTGGCAAGGGGAAAAACTGTCACTGCTGTCACAGTAAGCTCCAAACCCAGCCTAAAATGTAAATAGCAGTGACATCCTGTCATCTCAGTGCATCCCAGAAACACGTTAGGATCCTGTTTTTGACTACCAAAGCCAGGGTATGCATCTCTGCCTGGGTTCATACAGGCATGGCTTACTGTAGGAGTGCACACTATTTTGTAGAGCAAGGAAGGTGGCCTGAAGCTCCCCTCATCCCCCCAACTCCCCAACACTACTGGGTGCAACTCAGCAGAGCCCTCAAGATCCAGCCAGAGCAGCCTTCCACGGCTTCCAGGGGGCGCCGCTGAGGATGCTGATCCCTTCCACCCACCAGAGAATGCACCAGAAGCCACACACAGTTTGGTTTCTGGCAAGCATCAGATCTTACAAGTACAAAAGGCAAAAACAATGTCTGAAACTTGCCCTGAAGATCTAAAGTTTGAGAAATGATAAACACCAGAGTCTGATTCCAGAATTCTCAGTCAGTAGTTGGATTAACTACAGAGAAATAGACCTCCTCTGTCAAGCGCCCTGCAAAGCATGCTGAACAAGTAGGCCAGCCAATGCAGCACCAGGACAGAGCAACCAGCAAGCAGTTGAGGGCAAGCCTGTGGCCAAAGTGCCGACCTGTAAAGCAGCCCAGCTGCTCATGAGCGGCGTGCCTCAGCAAGCCTGGTCACTCCTGCGGGCCCCAGCTGCAAACCTTGCCTCCCTCACCCGTGTGTCGCCTGCCAGGCACCATGAGAGACTCCACTGGTGTGCATAGGACAAGTACTCCCAACACGGTGGCTGTGAATTACAATACTAGCACAGGCCTGGCACGGTGTCTTATCGTTAGAGCCGCCATCTTGGCATCTCTAACCTTGAGGCCATAAAAAAATCAGGTCTGTGTGGGGCTGACTGAGTCTCTTCAGGAAGCCTTGGGGTCCTCACCTGAGGTTTTCTGGGCCAGGCAGGAATGGAGGACATCAGCCACCACTCCAGGGCTCCTGTCAACTCACAGCGCCCTGTGACCTCTCCCACCCACAGGAGACCTGAGGCAGCTCTGACCAGCAGCTCCTTGTGAGGAACCCAATGGGCCCCACGGAACTTTCTCCCCTTCATGCCCACTCTCCAGACCCAGGCCCTCCTCACAAGCCCGAGTGCCTCTGCAGCGTGATGCCCACCTCATGTCAGCCCCTCAGCTTATCTATGACGCCCTGTTGGCCTGAAAGGGTCCCAGTTCTTGCACTAGGGCCAAGGATCTTCCAGGGCCCAGCATCTTCTTGCCCCTCTCCAACTTACCCCCTGCTCCTTCCAGCTACCATGCCCTTGTTTTAGGGAGAGGGAACCACTGTGACCATGCACTGAAACCCCTGCCACCCTGAGGACTCCCCTTCACCCTGTGGTGCAGCCCCTGCACGGCTGCTGTCTTCAGTATCTCATTTCCTGCCCTGCCTCACCCCTCCACCCTCTCCTTGCACGAGTGCCCTGTGGTGGTTACACTTGATTACATCAACTGAGTTGGGTCAAGAGCCTCGGAGGAAAAGAGAAAAGCACAGTCCTGGGTGGGTCTGGGTGGGAAGTGTGACCTTGGGGTCCACACCTGGACTCTGGGGCATTCCTTTCTACTTCTTGTTTCTGTGAACTAAGCATCTTTATTTGCTCTGCCACACTTTGGCCGTGATGTCTTTGCCTCGGACCCAGCCAACCATGAACTGAGTCTCCCAAACCGTAACCAAATTAAATCCTTCCTCCTCCAAGCGGAGGATACTGGGTGTCACTGGCAGGACTTGTGACTAACACATTCCTCTCCTTCTGAACTTTTGCACACGCTGCTTCACTGGTTCCAAACAACTAATCTGGCAACTTCCACTGAGACTTTAGGGTTCAAGTAAACCATCTTCCTCCCCTAGGCTTTCATGACTACCAAGTATCAGGCCTGCCCCTCCTACAGACTCGAGCATGGCTAGATAAGGCTCAACCTGGGGAGGTGATGGATCACAATTTGGCTACTGTCATCAGTGCCGTGGTCACCAGTCACCAGTTCTGTTCATAACAAATGTGTTGTTAGAAGGGCACTAGTCGGAGGGCAGGGGTCACTGGAGCTGTCCTCGGAAAGTGTCTTTCCCTGTCCCCCTCTCCCTGTGTCCTGCTTCCCAGCTGCCATGAGCTAAGCAGCTGTGTTCTGCCACATGTCCTCCACGATGATTCTACTTTACAGCCAGCTAACCATGGACTGAACCCCCTGAAGCCATAAGCCTAATTCAGCCTCTCCTCCTTTAAGTTACAGGGGTGAGGTATTTTTCCCCAGTGACAGGAAGGCTGAGCAATAATAAGGGCTCTTTTAGCTGAGCGTCTTCTCCAGATGGATGAATTTCACAAGGGAGGGAGATGTGGCATCTCTGGTGTCCAGCACAGAGACTTCTACCTGACATATTTTCAGTGAGTACTGGCTATACCTTACGCCTGGAAAACCTTTCTCACCTTTATCCAGATGACTCCTACCCATCTTTAAAACCTGAAGTGGCCCTCTCCAAGCAAATGTTCCCTAAGCTCTCCGTCCCCCCCAGCACCACCCTCAGTACATGGTTCTCCAAGTCCTCCACCAAACTGTACCTGTCACTTAACTTCTCACCACTCCCAAGAGCCTTTAAAAGCTAAAATCCACAGATGTTGGTGGGTGCAGGGTTGTTAAAGAACTATCGGGCCCACCCTCAGCAGCCACAGACCTTGCCATCACCAGGCCTACTGTCCCTTCAACATTCTATCTAGGTAGTCCATAAATAAATATCTGGGATTCAGAGTTTGATGCCAGTGGGGGGGGGGGCTTCATTCACCAACTCATGCTCCTTTTATTATTTTTTATTTTTATTTATTTTTTTGGTACCAGGAATCAAACTCAGGACTTTGCACTTGCTAGGCAGGTGCTGCGCCACTGAGTTATATCCCCAGCCCCATTTAGTTTATTTTTTAAAATAAAATACGTTTGAGATATGTCTCACTATGAAGTTCAAACTGTCCTTGAACTCACTACATAGCCCAAGACGGCCTCACACTCACAGTGATTCTTCCACCTCAGCCTCCTGAGTGCTGGGATTAGAAGTGCGTGCACCACACTAGGGCTTAAAATTCTCATGAATAAAGTAACAGGCTGCAGAAAATGCCATTTTCATGCTAGTAAGACTAACTAAAATCCAGTGATAATGGTGCACACCTGTGACCCCAGCACTCGGGCCGATGCAGGAGGATCAAGAGTAGGCGAGGCAGGGCATGGTGACACACTCCTGTAATCATAGCACTCAGGACGCTGAAGCAGGAGGATCGTTGCAAGGCTGAGACCAGCCTAGGCTACAAAATGAGTTCAAGGCCAACCTGAACTGTGTAGGGAGACCTTGTCTCAAAAAGAGAAAAAAAAAAAAAGTCCAAGACCAGCCTGGGCTACATAGCAAAGACTTTCTCCAAAAGGACAGGACAGGGACAGACACTAGCTAAGATCAAACCCATCTTGTTCATGCATGTTTTATTTTGCAAAAACCTAGAAATGTAAGGCTATACTTTCAGGGATCATTTCTATAGTATGTTACTAGAGAAGCTTCTCTGATTGTGTAGAGCACCAGAAACCACAAGGAGGAGGTGTAGTGTTCCTTCCTGAGTGTGAAGCCGGCTGTTGGTGTTGCTTGAGTGCAAAGCCACTTGCCATTGATGATCGTTCTTGCTGTCTCCTTGGAATCAGCGAGAGGGGAGAAATGCAGTCTGAGTGGTGTCTGTTTTATGGTAGTTGCTTAGGTGGAATTGCTAGGTGTTAGCAATGAGGTGGAAGTTAAGGGCTATGTGAGTTATGTGTGAAGAACTGTCTAAGGTTCTTGTTTCATTATGTAACTTAAGGGGGTTGTTACGGATATATAGTTCACTAGCACAGAAAGGGTTGTGGGGTTCCTGTTTACCACAAAATGTCACAGGCGAGTTACTTTTATGTTATGAATGGAACAATGCTGCAGTATAGTTAAATTTTTTTTCTGTTCATGAAGAACGTAGCCTCTTCCCAACATCTTAATAAATATGATTTAGGTTGAAAAAAAAACCTAGAAATGTATTAAAATTTTTACCATATAACCAGCTTTCAGTTCAAAGCCTACAAAGTGCTGCACCTGGATTTGAGGAGGATCTGTTATAGGCACGCAGTCAGTATTTGGGGGACCAGTGCCGGAAGCGTAAAAACCGGAAGTAAGCGTGGCACACGCACATCTGCTTCCTCCCACAGTCGCAGGAGGAAATGGGCTGAGAAGCCTGGATGCGGCCCTGCAGTCGCACCTATTCAGTGTCTGAGGACCTGCTGAGTGCACTGCACAGGGATCCACAGCTGCACGCACAAACACCCTGCACTGCCACCTCCAGGAGGGGCAGCAAGCATGGCTGCAGGTGGATGTGGTACGCACGCATGCGCACACCCACGAGCATGCACGTACGCATGCGCAGGCACGTACCTCCTCCCCTGACAACCACAACTAAAGGACAAAAGAGCAAAGATGCGTGCCAGAGTCCCAGGAAGAATAGGGGAGGAATCAGCAACCTCAGTGTCACAGAGTTCTTAAGACAGAAAGTCGGCTACAGCCTGAGAAGCTATAAAGCTCGATGTGGGGGCGCACCCTGTAGCCCCGGCACTCAGAGAGGCTGAGACAAAAGGATTGCAGGTTTGTGCCCCAGCCTGGGAAATTCAGTGACCTAAGACCTTGTCTCACAACAACAGAAGGCGCTGAGCTGACTGCAGCTCAGTGTGAGGGTCCTGGGTTCCATCTTCAGGACAGGTGAACAAAAAGCAAATGGTAAGTGATTCCGCCTTGCAGGAGTCACACTCATGTGTACTTCTTTACACGAAGGCACTGGGAGAAGGTGACAACCTGCACAATAAAGATCCTACCACTCCCCTGCAACGCTGCATGGAGCAGGGCCTCCCTCACCTCTGACACAATGGGGGTGGATCCCAGCACTCTGGAGGCTGAGGCAGGAGGCTGGCGTAAATTCTCTGCTGCCATCCTGGGCTACATAGTAAGTTCAAAGTCAATCTAGGCTACATAGTGAAACCCTGTCTCAAAAAAAAAAAAAAAAAAGAATTAGGGATCGTTCTCTAAAGAGAGCAGGACTGGAGAGTCTTTAAAAGCAGCAGCAGCATAGGAGGGACTGGGGTACAGAATCACAGTGAAAACAGGGGAGAGAGCTGGATCCCTGATAACAACACCCCTGCTGCTCCTGTTCTCTTCCCAGCCCTGTCCCTCAGGGCAGCGTCCGCCCATCTGCTGGAGGTCCACAACTGTCACACAGCAATGGGAACCCAAGGGCTGCTTACTACAGCTAAGAAAAACCTCCAGCATCTAGCAGGGCTCAAAGAACACAAATACCAGGAACTTGGAGCAAACATAAGACTACCTCAAATAAACCGTACTCTCTGTCCTCCGAGGAGGATAAAAATTCAAGAACCTAAAATGCAAGACCAAAACAAGTGCATCCAAAAAGGAAAATAAAAAATGAGGGAAATGCCTTAGATGTAAGATGAAGACAGTAAATTTTAAAGTAACTGAAAGATAAAAAATAGAAACAGGGCCAGAGGTTTAGCTCCGTGGCATAAGCGCCTGCTTGGCAAGCACAAGGTCGTGAGTTTGATCCCTGGTACCCCCAAAAAACAAAAATGAAACGAGGAACAAAAACTAAGAAAATCAGGAGCAATTAAAAAAGTCCAGTGTTTGAACACTAAGATTTCCACAAAGAAAAAAAAAAGAAAAAAGTTATCAAAAACTGTCTTTAACATTTTTTCCCAGAACAAAAGGGCTCAAGTTTCCAGATGAAAAAAGGTTCACAGAGCCAGGAACAGCACATTTAAAAAGACAGAGACCTGTATTACAAAATATCAAAATACTCAGGGTAAGGAGAAGATTCTACATTTGGGAGGCTGAGGCAGGAGGATCACGAGGACCTCAAGGCCAGTGTGGGCTACCAAGTCAGTTCAAGGCCAGCCTGAACTACACAGTGAAATCGTGTTTCAAAAAGACAAAAGAAAAGACAAGGAAGAACAAGATTCCAGAAGCTTCCAGAGAAGAAACCAGTCATGCCCAAGAGACAGAGTGTTGTTAAGGACAGATTTCTGTCTGCTCAAAAGCAATACAAGAAGCCGGGGGAAGACAAAAGGCCTTGCTCAGATTTCTCAGGGAAAACCATTCTCAAGCAGGATTGTAAAGTAAGCCAACCAGCTATCAGCAACACCAAGCTCCCCAAGAACACGTGTCCTTTGTCCTCTCAAAGCAAGGTGTCCCTGAGGCAAACACTTCTGGACACCAAGAAAGAGCTCATAATAAAAACTTGGAACAAACCAACCCAAAATTACTGACCCTGTGGTGGGCTGGGTCTAATCAGAGACAGCAGGAAAGAGGAGAAGATGCAGACATCTCCAGGGGACAGCTGGCCCAGGGACCCCCCGCCAGGCCCAGAGAAGAAGCCCAGGGGCTCAGATGCGGACAGCTCCGTGGCGGGAAAGATAGGAAAGCTGCCCCAGCCTAGCGACTGCCTTTCCTCAAAAGAAATTTTCCAGGTGTACTAGTGACATTAAAAGATTAACTAGAAAACAAATGTGAAGAGGGACAGCAAAGTGAGATCCCAAAAGAAAGTAACGGCCACCCGGTGTTCTGCTGGGCTCAGCTCTGAACAGTAAGGGCTTAGCCAAAACTGATAGAATTACTGTGGAACATGAACTGGGGTATGAGGGAGGAATTCCTGTCCTGGAAGAAAACATAGCATTTTAAGAGTTACTTAGAAAAATCTTCAGAGAAAGCCAGGCGTGGTAGTGCGCACCTGTAATCTCAGCACTAGGGAGGCTGAGGCAGGAGGATCCCTGCAAGTTCAAGGCCAGTATAGACCGCATAGGAAGACCCTATCTCAACAACACTAGAAAGACACCACCATGCAGCTGTCCCGAACAAGCCAGAGTCCCTAAGAAATTTTACCTGTAGACAAAGAGCCACCCTTGGGTCAAATGGGCAAACATGAAAAGGAAGTGAAATGGGAAACCAAGCCAGCTGACAGCTCAGAGAAACGGACACCCCTCTGGATAATTACACCTCAAAGGCAAAGGGGGTGGTAGCAGCAGGGGAGAGTTCCGCAAGGACAAAATTCCAGCTGGAAAAATCCACTGCCTTCTCTGTCTAATTCAGAGAGTGGGCAGCATGGGAGGCAGTTGGTGCGGGCACTTGAGACGCAGCTTAACCCAGCCGCCAGGACAAGGGAGAAGCGAGCGGAATCCTGAGTCACTGTGGGTGACAGCCTCCCCGTGCAGGGCCATCTGGTCCACCAGGCAAAACCACAAGGACACCTGGCTAGAATCCTCACTCGGCCACACCCTGTCATCTGAGCAAACCACCTAACTACCCTCAGCCTCCTCATCCTCTCTGTGAAACAGGTCAAAGCTGGCTGGGTGTGGCAGCAAATGCTTGCAATCCCAGCACTCAAGAGGCTGAGGCAGGAGGATCGCTATGAGTTCAAGGCCAGCCTGAGTTAAATAGCAAGGTTAAGTCCAGCCTGAACTACACAGGGAGGCCTGGTCTCAAAAATAAATAAAATAGGTCAAGGATGTAGCTCAGTGTAAAGCCTGGGTTCAATTCTCAGTACCATGAGGACTAATTAATTTAAAATACGTGCACACCTTGAGCCAGCTATACTCAGGCTTGAACAAAGCCAGGAAAATGGCACACACTCTTCCCAAACTTGACTGTGCCTCGCTGATATCCTTCCCCAGGAAAGCCATGGTCCTTTCCTTGGGCCCAGCCTGGTCCCTCGGGATACGTCTGCCTTCCTAGGTGGTCACAGGACCCCAACACCCCCAAGACAGCTGCACCTATTTCTCCCTGGCCTCGGAGCCCAGCCACCAGGAGAGACAGAGTGTCTTAGCCGAGGTGGCTGCTAGGACAAAATACCACAGCGCACCTGTGATCCCAACACTCCGGAGGCTGAAACACGAAGACCCCTGTGAGTTGGGGGCCAGCCCGCACCACACAGGCAGATCCTGTCTCAAAAAACAAACAAAACATAAAAGGAACAGATCCTTAAAAGGCCAGGGAGACACAACTGCAAGTCCACTGCTAGCTGGTGTCTGTGGCTGTCACCTGGCTTTGGCAGGGACTCTCCCCCTATGCTGGGAACCCCTCTGCAAGGTACTTTCCGGGTGCCCCGGCTTCTCACTGTCCTCCGCAAATGCTCTTCAGTTTCCAAGCTCTGAGCCTGGGCCCAGCAGGCCCCACCCATGCTTCCCTTGACCTGCGAGGGGCGGAGCCCATGTCCCCAACAGTGACTCCGCACAGCTCCTGCCGTCCGCCAGCCCAGACCTGTGCCCAGACCTGTGCGCCCTCTGTGACCCGCACTGAGAACAGAGTTGCTGGACGGAGCATGCGCAGTAAGTCCTTGCTGCATTTTTTAACAGCAATCTTGAAAGGGAGGAAATGATGGTGTTTATTTTAGGGCAACAGATGGAGACTGCTTATTGGACACAGTCCAGACTTCTCTGCAAAATCCACTAGTAACATCTTCATACATCAGCCCCTTCTCTTTTCACCCTCACCCTCGAGAAATTTGCATAAACCTCCCCCTCCCTCCCTTCCCCTCTCCTCCTCTTTCCATAGATCTCTGATTTTGTGTATGTGGGGGGGGGGGTTGGTTTGGTTTGATTTGGTTTAATCTGGTTTAGTTTTTTGGACAGGGTCTCACTATGTTGCCTTGAATTAGCAGAGATCCTCCTGCCCCAGCCTCTACAGTGCTGGGATTACAGGTCCACTCCATGTTTTTAATGTTTCTTCCTAGATACAAAGATGTCTATGAATACTGCTGTGTACCCTGTCCATACTTCCGTCAATAAACTGAGCGCCTAGCACAGGACAGCCACTCAATATACATCAGTCTTCTTCCACTGTGACGTGCCCAACATTCCGATTCCTGCACCATCCTCATGGCCATGGGTGTCTGCTGCTTTCAGCTGCTGGATAATGTGCAAGGCACGGAGGTTTATTTTGGGCTCTGGAGGACAGAAGTCCAACAGAGTGGTGCTGGCACCTGCTGCAGCTCACACGGGAGACCAGACAAGACCGCTCCATCATCTTTCCCTTCTTATCACAGCACTGGTGCAAGCAGGGGTCCCACCCTCTGGAGCACCTCCAAGTCTCATCCAGTGTCTAAATCTGGAGATTAAGTTATCAAAACAGGAACTTCAGAGGACACACGCAAACCACAGCACCGCACCTTTGTGGCCTCTAAGGGGCAGCAGCTTAGCTCAGCAGCCCAACCTGTCTTCCTGCCTGACCAGCTGCTCTCCCTGGAGACGGGACTGTGGCTCAGTCACCTTTACCTTCACAGCAGCTAGAAGCAGGGTGCACCAAGTTTATCAGTCCTCAATAGGATCAACTGGACAGCTTGGGGACGCTCAGGGTCAATAACAGGGTGAAGAGACAGGCGCGCAAACTGAAGCTGAGATAAAACTTGTGCAAAAGACCAAATTCCCAGTAGAAGTTGGCTCCTGGATTCGAGGCTGCTGCAGCACAGAAGGAAGCCCAGTACGTTTCCGAACAGGCATTAACCTGGGCCAAAGGCCCTGTTTCTGAGGTCCTCACCCGACGAGTCTCCCTGGCCGAGGGCCAGGTCTGCAATGATGGCCCCACAGGCCCCAGGCAGCCGCTGTCATGCTCCTCGGCTGAAGACTCACCAAGAAGGGGGCCGGGCGCCTGGCCATGAGCGAGATCCTCTGCAGTTTGCAAGTGCTAGGAAGCAAGCTGAGCTCAGCTAGGCTTGAGAGCTTCCCAATCTCACCCTCCAGGTCCCATTCCAGGGTGGGCAGCCCAGATTTATTCTCTGCCCCCTAAAACAGGCAGAGTCAGATGAGTCCCCCCTAAAACAGGCAGAGTCAGATGACTCTCTTCTTGTGTTTGTTCAACATGAAGTCTTGGCCATTCATCTCTTTGGCAGAACTGAAGCTTTCTTCTAAGTCTGCACATTAAATTGCAGGAAGCCTTCATCAGCGATTCCATAGCCCTTGATGTCAGCTTGGTCCCAAGCTATGAAGCCCCAGAGACCCTGACACTCAACTCATAGCTCTGATTCACTGTCTGTCTCCATCAGTGCATGGAGCCAGCTGGTCTCCTGGACCAGAGAGAAAATTCTGAGACAAATTCAGACCTCAGGCTTCTGGTCTACCCTGCATCCCAGCACAGGTGGGCCTGGGGCAGATAAGTGTCCATGTCTGAATGCCACACCTGGAGGCAACAAACGTGAGACAGGACACATGACTGGACTGGTCCACAGATGAAAGAGATCCTTCTGAGTGCAGATGCAACTGCCTCCCAACACAATGACCCTCACTCGTGCTGGAATTGTTAAGCTCAACACTGTGATACCAGAACCTCTGAAGTCCTGATTGCCACCTCTGTCTTACACGGGAGAATGGCTGTGAAAACTGGACTTAGAGAAACAAACATGGATTCCTGGACAGCTAATGCCACCATCTGGGGCAGTGCAGGCTGACACAGAAGCCTCCAGCCCTCCAGGGCTATCAGCATGGACATTTACATGGGACAGAATCAAACATCCACTTCCTGGGTCACGCTGGCCATGGTTCACGTGCTTGACAGGCAAAACTCCCATCGGCTTCCAGAAGGGCAAACGTGGCATACTTCGCTGTACCCTGAATGTCCCATTTGACAGGACAGGTGGGAAGCTTGGGGACAGTGCAGTTTATCTGCATGGGCCTCGGTTCCTTTGATGTGGCATGAGGAACACGACCTCCCGGAGGTCAGGTCGCAGTGAGATGCCCTTCCTTAATGGAGCCTACTGCACAAGTGTTACTGTTTTTCCTTTAAGGCAAAAGATACCAATGTATCAGTTGTTTTTTTCTAAACTACACCCCCTAAACCCTTGGGCTTAATGGTAATCTCAGCACTCTACGATGAATCAGTGGGTTTGGGGCTGCAGTGTGGCACTCAGTCTCTAAGAAGGTTCCCCATCGCTGTTCCATAATGCTGGACCTGACCTCCGGGAGGTCGTGTTCCCCATGCCATACCAAAGTACTCAGTGTTGACAAAAGACTAAAATCACAGCCAGAGACGAAGCCACCTGAGACCACAGCACCCACAGCAGCTGTCGGGAGTCACCGTCAGTGGGTAACGAAATTCAACATCAGGCCATGTGACGGGGGAGCTGAGTGGCACTGGTGAGGCTGTCCTCCAGCGCTGGAACCCTGGGAGACACAGAGAGTCCGAGGAGCACCAGGAGGGTGGCACGGATGGCACCCAGGACAAAAGGAGACTCTGCTGCGACCAAGAACAAAAGGACCCCTGACACAGGAGAACATACTGCAGAGATGACCAGGAGGCGGCCTGAATCGAGGTAAGGAAAATGCATACCGATTGGAGGCATCCAACAAGGGAAGTGTTTGTTACAGGGAGAGACCAAGGGAGACAGAGAAAGAGGCTTTTTGAGACACAGTCTCACCACATATCTCAGGAGGTTCTCCTGCCTCAGCCTCCCAAGTACATGCATGGATGTGCCCGGCCAGAAGCATGGAGAAGAGAGTTCCCGCACAGGGCAAACCCACTTCTACTTCAGATCACCCCTGAGCCTGGAAAGCCCCCTGCCTCATAGCTCCATCAAAGAGATTGCACTTCAGCAGGGCAGGCAGGGCTCAGGAACCCCCATGTCTAACCACGCCCAAAAGACAAAAGATACGAATGTGTGAGCATCATGGGCCAGTGGTGCTGATGGCATAGGACCAGCCTGGACCCGCTCACACTAAGTTGAGCTGCAGGGTCACCACCTGGGAGAGAAGGTTCCGAGCTCTCCGGGAAGGCAGAGTCTGCAGCCTTGGAACCAACTCTAGAGACAGTGCTCAGGAAAAGAAACTAAAACCAGACAGATACAGCAGGGCAAATCTCAGTGCTGAGGAAACAGAGCCAGGCACAAAAGGCATCATACCAGCGAATGGTAAATCTAATCTGCAGTGACCCAGAGCAGATCAGTTCCCCAGAGATAGATACTAACAGGAAAAAGAACCCCAGAAAACCAAGTGGAATTATAAAATAGACTTTTTTAAAGAAAAAAAAATGTTCTAGAACATTCTAGAATGTTTCTAGAATAGTCTTGATCTTGTTGCTGCTCTGACTGTGACATCTGACAGTACATGTACAGCCTGTGACTTTACTATCACTAACCCACAAATGATGATTATCTAAAAACAAGAGCCAACTGGTAATTTCGGTTTCATTGAGTCAGCTCATGTCACTCCGGGAGGATGCCAGCTAGCCAGAGGCAGGCATAGTAAAGAGACTGTCTAAATGTCTATTCTGTTGGGTTTTTTAATCCTGTGTATGTTTCTGTGAGGCTATGGTAGTTATTTTTCTAAATAAGTAAAATTTAAAATTCAGAGAAAGAGCTAGTAAAGTATGTTCTTCCTTGGTAAAATGAATGAGAAAGTGAGGTCAGAGCCCTTGCCCGGCCTGGGAACACTGAACCGTGAGAGCTCAATCTCTTTCAGTTTACGAAACCCTGATTTTTGAGTGGGTACTATATGTCATCCTGTAATTTACCAAATTTCTCTGACTTCTGAGTGAATATCAGTTTTTTAGCCTATATTCCCATACTTGAGCATTTTTCATAAATACAGGTGAGAATATACCATCTGCGTGTGTGTGTGTGTGATTTAAGGATGTTTCTTTGCTTTGTAGCTATCTCTCCTATGTTTATATCCCTAATCAATTATCTTTAGTTTTGCACAGTTAGAAATTTCTAGATGTGGCGGCACACATCTGTTGTCCCAGCTACTCAGGAGGCTGAGGCAGAAGGATCATGTGAGTCTGGCTGACCTCAAACTTATGATAATGTTCCTGCCTCAGCCTATTCAGTGCTAGGATTACAGGTGTGTGCTGCCACACCTGGTTTAAGCACAACCTTTTTTGGAACACCCATGATCTCCTTCACCCACAATGCCAATATCTCCAGACCCAATCAAAAGGAGTTCTCCAGCCTGAATCTTCTTCTGCAGTGCTCCACCCAGACTTCAATCCTGGCCTTCTGTACAGCCATGTCTGAACTATTGTCTAATGTACGGCACTGGACGCTTCCACATAATGGGCAGCTAATAAATGTGGGCACTTCAGAGTCAAACTCAGACTCCTGCAAGTAACTTCGAGTACCAGGTACTAAATCATTCCAAAATTATATATGTAAACGCCAAGCATGGTGACGCACGCCCGTAATCTCAGAGAGGCAGCGCTGAGACAGGCACAAATCTAATGAGGCCAACCTGGGTTCACGGTAAGTTCCCGGCCAGCCTGAACTACACAGCGAGACCCTGTCCCAGGAAGCAATCAAGCGAACAAGTTAATTTCCCCCAAAAGGAAATGGTACCAGTTAAAGTGGGGATATCACTATTGCTCAAGACAAGATTCGGGTACCTCATATTTCTAACATTGACCTTTTGCTTTTCCAGAAAGTACAAGGTGTAGACAGAATTCGGGAGGTTTAAGAGTATTGTGAAACTGGGCAAGGTGGTGCACTCCTATAATCCCAGCACTCAGGGAGCTGAGGCAGGAGGATCATTTCGAGTTCAAGACCAACCTGGGCTACAAAGTGAGCCCAGGCCAGCCTGAACAGCATATCAAGACCCTGTCACAAAAGAGTATTGTGAAATTTGACATCATTGGAAAAGAAATATGTTCTTAAAAAAAAAAAAAAAAAAAAAAAAAACGAAGACAACATACTGGCCTCAAAAATGTTTTAAGCCCTGAAAGACAGTGACGGAGGAAAAAATCCCACACTTTGGCGAAATTAAGAAGTGAAATTTAAACCCCAAGACTCCATAAGCCACAAGCAACAAGTGCCTGGGAGTTCAAAGAGCAAAACTGTTACCCTTCTGCCAAAGTATATGCAAGCATGGGCTCCAGAGGCCACTTAGAAGAAGTAAAACAGGACCAGAAAGAAACTGGCCTGGGGGTGCCCCCTGGCAGTTCATAAATAATAAACGAAATAAATAAATGAACGAAAGCCACACTCCTGAGGACCTATATGCCTTTTGATTATTTCGTGCAAAAACACATTATTTTCAACACATATTATTAAAGAATACACTATAGGAAAAAAAGTATTTGCAGCCAGGCTTACGGGTGCACCCCTGTAATCCCAGCACTGGGGAGACTGAGGCAGCAGGGTCGCTTTGAGTTGGAGGCCAGCCTGTGCCACAGTGAGATCAAGGCCAGCCTGGACTACATTATAAGCCCCTGTCTCAATAAATAAATGAATAATCAAGCAGTCCGAATGCACAGCCCTCTGACCCAGTAACTCACTTCAGGATATTTGTCCTGTAAAACACTTGAATAGGCTGGGGATCGAGCAGCTCAGTGGGGCAAGCTCCTGCCTGGCAAGCACAAGGTCCTGAGTATGATTCCAGGCACACACACACACACACACACACACACACATACACACACACATACTTGAATATAGACAAATACAATAACTGCCTCTGCAGGAGACAGGTTAAATAATTCAAAGTCCTTGTGAAGGAATTCTATGCATCTGAGAAAGAAAAAGCAACATCGAAGACCAACAGCCTGCACGGGGCCTAAGGCTTGCACAGAATATTGTGTATTTGCTGAAATGTTCACTAAAGACACACACGCATAAACCACTAGCGCCTCCGGTCGAGGAGGAGACCGGGGAGCCCGGAGTTGACACTGGAAAGAGATTTGCAAAGTGTTTAGTTTACTCCTTTCCAGCTTCTGAACTGAGGAACTTTACTGGTTTCTTTTTAAATAAATCAAATGTAACATGAAGAAAGAAAACTTCAGGGCCAGGTACTTAGCCCCGCAGCACAAGCACCTGACACAGGCAAGGTCAGTGAGTTTGATTCCCAGTATCAAAAATAAATACATAAATAAAAAGAAAACTTTAAAAACACATCGACCCACGTGGCTGATTGGCAAAAGGAGCTCTGCCGCGCAAGGTGCACGGTGTCCCAGTCTGAGCCAGGGTGACCTGAATGGGATGGATCAGAGGGAGCGGAGACCTCAGGTTAACCACTCCTGCGACCCGGGCCAAACCCAAGACGGCACAGATCTGCGGGAAAACAAACAAAAAGCCCTCCCCACCGCCCTCACTGATGGTTTTATGTCTTCTATGTGTTTATGTTTCCCAACTTGGAGGCTAAGAAACCCTGTAACAAGGTATCTGCAGGTAACCCCGCATTCTGCCCTTGGAGGTGCAGCTGGCGATATGGACACTTCGCGAACAAAGGAGGCTTTTCTCAGCCCTCGGTCACACTGGGAGAGGTGACGGGCGACCTTCCCCAGCCCACGCGCCTCTGTCCAGCTGTAAGGGCTTTCTGCAGCCGAAATCTGTTGGGGGGCAGTGTGGGCGCCTGCCCCGCAGTCCCAGGCGCCCTCCGCCGGTGACAGCTTTGCACACCGTACACCCCCGGCGGCGCGAGGGGCAGGGGACACCTGTCTGCGTGCCTCCGTGCTCTCCTCGGGAGGCAAAGCGAGTAAACCCGGCTCTGCGGTGGGGAGAAAAAGCACAGCACTCCCAGCCCATCCCGGAGGCTGAGGCAGGCAGCACTCCGCAGCACTGTCCTAACTAAGCCGGTCCGGACGCCCCTCCTGGGGCCGGGGGCACAACTACGAGTCCCCGACCCCGGCCCCGGCCCTTCGCTCCCGCACGCTCTGGAGGCGCCGGTGGAGACCTGCGAGCCGCAAAGCCAGGGCCCAACTTTGCGCGCGCCGCCCGGGTCCCCAGCCACGTCGCCTGCGGCCGAACACTGTCAGTTGTGCCCGACCAAGTGTGGCAACGGAAAGTTGGGGCGCGCGTCCCCGGATTCTGCCCGGCGGCGCCCGCCGCGCACCCCAAGGTCACCGCCCCCGGCGCCCCCTCGCGGCCGCCGCTCACCAGAACAGCAGGTTGGCGCCGGCGAAGCCCAGCAGGCTGAGCAGCGGCCTCTCCCAGCTCAGCAGCTCGCGGGCGCGGCAGCAGAGCCACAGCCCCGGCTCCCCGAGCAGCCCGGCCACCGCGGCGGCCACCCGGCCCGCGGCCTCCCGCTCCTCCTGCGCCTCGGGCGCCGCCGCGCATCCTTCCGGGCCCGGGGACCCGGGCGCCACCGCGCTCGCCATCTTCGCCGCTGCAGCGCGGACGCGACTCGGAGGGGGACGGGGACGCGGGCGGGGACGGAGCGGCGCGGGGTGCGCACGGCGGCGGCCGGCGGCTGGGTGCTGTGACGTCAGCCCGCGGGCGGGGGCGCCGCCCGGGAAGTGGGTGCGGTCAGGTTGGGGGCGGGGCGCGGGCACCGGGACCGAGCCAAACGGGTCGGGAGCGGGGAGCTGGGAGGGGGTGGTGGCTGTCATCCCACCTCCGGAGGCTGAGGCTGGAGGCTCACCGTGAGTTCCAGGCCAGCCTGGGCTACGTAGTGAGTGCAAGGTCAGCCTGGACTACCCAGCGAGACCCCATCTCGAAAAAGCAAAACAAAACAACCAGAAAAAAGCCCATTGCCTCAGTGTCCCATAAGCCTTATCTGGAGGGCCAGCATCTCCCTCTACGTGTACATTTGTGACAGTTCACTGACACGTTGCAGGCGTGTGCCCAGACCTTATACTTAAAAAGGGAGCACACGCAGGGCTTTCTTGAGCAGCTGCTGCGGTCCAGTAGCATTGCTGAGCTCGGAGGACGTGGCTTCCTCCCACGCGAGGCCTCGGGCCAGGGCACCAACTACAGTGGTGGCAGTGGTTGTGGTGGGAACATCCCCAAGTATGAAACACCCCTTAGTTAAACTGGCTGTCCAAAACTCGAGCCCTTCGTAGAAAAGCAGACGAACCTTGAGGCCATAATGCTGAGTGAAGCCGATCAGACAGGCAAGCTTCATTGTCACATTGTTCCTCTTAGTGAGAGACCCAGTGAGCAAAACCAGCGATACATAAAAGGATGCAGGAGACAGCTTTCTCGAAGGGGGAGGGGACAGAGAGATGAAAGGAGGTGGTGGAGGAGGGGAAAGGGCTAATAAACATAAAAATTATAAAATAACAGTGGGTGTCCAGCACAGGTGAAGGGTACAAGAAAGAGGTGACAGGATTTGGAGCCAGATGGCTTCCAGCCCAAGGGCCCAGGAAGTGCGTGGTGGTCAGGCGGTGCAGTCGTTCCTCCCCAGCATTCAGTGTGACCGAAACTAGGGAGGTGGTGGCATGCCCTTGGTTCCATCATTGATCCCCCAGCAATGGGAGGTTGGGGTTATTTTTTTGAGACAGTCTCACTATGTGGTTCAGGCTGGCCTTGAATTCACTGTGTAGCCCAGATGGCCTCAAACTCACAGCGACCCTCCTGCCTCAGCCTCCACAGTGCTGGAATGACAGGTGTTCACCACCACACCTGGCTAAGGAGGTTTAGCTTTTCACCTGCTATTTCCAACTTTCCTTTTAAGCAGTACCCCTCTGACACCTTTATGGAAAGCGGCCTTGGAAACCATGAAAAAGTAATGTGGAAACTGTTGAGGTAATTTTTTCCACAAAAGACTATCTCTTCCGGGCTGTGGGTCCTTCCTCTGGCCCTCCACAGGCGCCTAGGAAAGACAGACGATGCTTTATTTTGCAACTCGGTCTTTGCTTAGGTCTTGACTGGGTTGTGGTTTTCTAAACTCTCTAGCTAAACACCTAGCTGCCTGCTGGAGGAGGAGAAGCGCCCTGCAGGCGGCCGCGCCCCCCTGCAACGCGTCTGCAAGGCTCGGTGGGTCCCTCCTGCTCCCCTGCGTCGTAATTACAGCTGCGGGAGCTGCCGATGTAGCAGGAGCTGTTGACAAGCGGGATGCATTTGAGCTTCCTCGCTCCCGAGCCTGCAAACAGCTACACGCTGTACAGCGCTGCCTTTCCCTAGCATGCCTCCGTTTCTGCACTGCACAAAGCTGGCCTGCATAAAACACTCATGAATTCTCCAGGCCGCCTTTCCCACCCCACCCGGCATCACTGCTGATGAATTGTAGCGGGATCAGCCGCTATGCAAACAGGGCCACCGTTTTCTTCTTCGCCTAATTATCTTTGTGACGCCAATGTCATTTATTCAGCGCAAAGACTGCAGAGAGATAATCCCCGTGGTGACTGCGGGACGCTGGTCCCCAGATTCAAGAACGTGCGGCATTTCAGACTCCCGGGGGTGACTTAGTGTAGAGATTCCCTGCTGAGTTCTGCCAGGTAGGTAGGGGATGGAGCCGTTTAGGACGAGGTGACACCAGGGGCACAGCCGAGAAAAACGGGGGAGGCGACTGTCACCGAAAGCTCCTCTCGGGAGGCTGGGGCATGTCACGATGCACTCAGGTCCTCTCTGGAAAAGGCCGCTGGCCTAGCTCCCCTGACAGTAGGCAGAAAGCCCTGTAACAGGAGCGGAAGCCATGAATAATTAACCCCCCGGGCGGTCTGCGAGGCCACAGGGAAGCCGGCCTTAGAAGGAGGGAACTGCACCGTCTCGATGGCTTCTCCCTTTAAAGGGATCACGCTAGGCTCCCCAGCCAACAAGGCCCTTGCATGAGTCCTCAAACAACAGCGGCTTGGTGCAGCTGGGATTTCCTTTTAACCGCTCAGCAGCAGGAGCGCTGTGCGCTGCTAGTTTTATTGAAGCAGCCATAGGGTGCCTCAGAAGTACTTGTCACACAACCAGGACCCTAGGCGGCTCCCTGTGAGCAGAGACATCATAATGTCTCATGCCAGCCACAGTGGGTCCCACCTCTCCACCTCCTCTGACCTGGCTCTGAGGCCCATCCCTGGCCCGACTCACAAAAGGAAGCCACCAGCCCATGTTGGGGCTGTCGACGTATGTGCAGGAGTGTGCATGTCCAAAGTGCAATCAACAATTGTTCTCTGTACCTGGGATGTACTTAGCAGAATGGACGCACTCACACCAGGAAGGTGGCCAGCTGTTTGGGGTGTGCTTACTCCCTCATACCCAAAAGGATTTTTTTTTTTTTTTTTTTTTTTTTTTTTGAGACAGGCATTGGTTATGTAATCCAGGCTGGCCTTGAGCCTGAACCCACTACACAGCCTAAACTGACCTTGAACTTGCAGAGATCTTCCTGCCTCAGCCTGCGGAGTCGTGAGATCACAACTTTGCACCACTACACCCAGCTTGTGAAAGGGATTTATTTTTTAAGGATTTAAAACGTTTGGGGCTGGGGATTTAGCTCAGCGGCATAAGCACCTGCCTTGCAAGCAGGCGGTCGTGAGTTCGATCCTTGGTACCGATAAAAATGAAAAAAGATTTAAAACTTGACAGAGTAGCCAGCACAAGCCTGTCATCCTAACACTTTGGGGTGGTTGAGGCAGAAGGATTGCGAGTCTGAGCCCAGCCTGGGCAATGCAGTGACTGAAGAAGATTCTACCTCAAGATAAGAAATAACATAAGCGTTTGGAGATGGCTCAGTATGAAGGCCTCAGGGTCAATTCTTGGTACTGGAACAAAAAGATTAATTAAAAAGTAGGAAGGTCACCATGTGAAAGTATATTGTTACAGGCAGCTGAGCTGGTTAGAAATACTGCAGGCAGTCAGAGAGGGCTAGGCCTTCAAAGAAGCTGGCACAGAGGACCAGATGTCTGGTGACCTTGGAGGAGACACCCACCTCCTGCTCTGGGCCAGATCTCAGGACAGAAGGCAACACAAATGCAACCAACACCATAAGTATAACCCTTAGATTAGGTATGGCTCACCCTGAGAAGCCAGGCGTCACCATCCCATCCCCTACAGGAAGAGTCACTGAACCATAAAGAATGCCCGCTTGCTATGTGACTTGCTTCCGCATTTCTCCCTGATTTGGTCAGTTTTACCTAAACAATTAATCTTATTGGTTGACCATAGCTCTGTCCTATGTCATGCCCATCTGCCTTGGGAGTTCCCAGGTTTCCCCACTTTAGACCCGCCTCACCTCATGATTTTACTCTATAAAAGTCCCTAGAAAATACAGAATCTTTGGCAAACCGCTCAGGACCCCTTCTGTCTCTTAGACAGAAGCTTTCTTTCTCTCAATATTTCTGCTCTTCACCTCCATTGTTCCTAAAATTCATTCTTGGATTTTAGGGAACATGAACTCGTACCGGACATCCAGTAGGGGGGAGTTTTATTCCCCTGTATTACTATGACCTAACATCTGCAGACGCACAATTTATAACCACATAACTTATAAATTCGGCTCACGGTTCTGGAGGCCAGAAAGCCCAAGGGCTTGGTGCCGGGGTTGGCTGCAGGGATCGGGGCAGGGGGAGCCGTCTCCTAACCCTGTGACTCCAGAGACTCCCCACCTCCAGACACACCATACACAAATTGGCTGAGTTTGCACATGGAGCAGGACATATCCCAAAACAGCCCAAATATGCTGCCTCGCCACCCCCCAGGGTGCAGGTGGATGCATGCCCATCAGCAAGGGCACCCGCTGGACGTGGACTTCCAGCCCACACCTCACTGGTGCTCTGAGCTCCACCTGAGTCTGAAGCCTAAGCACAGTGGGTTTTTTAAATTTTGTGGGATGTGTGTATGTGTGCATGTGCATGTAGGGGTGTGTGTGTGTGTGTGTGTGAGACTGTGGAGTCCCGTCTGGCCTCCAACTCGCTGCAGTCCTCCCACCTCGGCCTCTCGAGTTCTGGGAATCCTGCCATGTGAAGGGAGCCCTTGAAGCTGGAGATTGGTCACATATGTGGGGCTAAAGCAAGACCAGCCCTGAAAACAGAGAGCCCAACACAAGCCACGTAAACAAGCTGTTCCAGCTCCGAGATAGGGACCAGGCTGGCCAAGCAGACAGGCTGCTGGGCAGTGGAGTTGGACTGACACCTTCTTTGGAGGGTAGAAACAAAGCTGCTGAAGGGCTGCTCAGCTCCTTCTGGCCCATCAGGACGGTGAGGGATCCACCTGACCCCCGCTTTGTGTCTTCTTTATCTTCTCGCCCTCTTTTCCCCGGGGAATACCTAGAGCTTGGGCCAGTCCTGACAGGTATGTGTCCCCCCACATACCTGTACCCCAAACCTCTGCTAAGCACCACCCCGGTCCAGTCGGTGGCCTTTTCCTCTCCTGTCCCCCACGGTCCTGTTCCTCCCTCCAGGTACATTCAGATAGTCACTCTTTCCTCCTACCGAAGTCACTCAGCAGCACCACAAGCAGCTGATGAGCTGGTGGGAAGGTACAGCACCACCACCTTCCCCAGGGTGCGCTGCAAGGACTGGACAGAGACCAGAAGAAGGTCTACAGAGGGGCCTGGGGCTAGGGCAGGGCAGGTGGAGGGAGGGTCTGCATGACAGCCAGGCAGAGCCATCACCGGGAAGGACCCAGAGACCCTGGACCGCTCAGTGCCTGCCTGGCCTGGCTATGAGCCCTGCCAAGCCCTGACTTGTGAGGTGCA